ATCAACTTGGAATCAAAATTAAAAATTTTAAGGACTAAAATAAGGATTTTTTTAGTTGAGAGACTAACTTGAGGGTCCATATAACAGTAGAGGGACCAACTTTTGGGTTTTACTTTTTTATTACAATATTGAGATGCACAAATATTCGTGTGGAATGTATTCAAGATACAATCTTTTTCTCCACACACATTGTTTGACACGTAATACCCAATTTTACACTAAACCTCAAAATCAAAAGTAAGAAAGAGACACTAATAAAGCATTTTTCTCGTTTGTTCTTAACTTTCTAAGCAAGACCTCCGGTAGTGGTTGGAAGCTTGGGAATTTCCCAGTCACATTCATTTTTTCACATCTCAGACCCTTATAGGCCTAGCTACAAATTCAGTGACGGCTACATGACAACATATTATGTTTGTGCCCACGCAATTAGTATACGGATTTTTCATCCCGTAAGATTCATGTTAAGCTTGTATTTTTTATAATTAATTAATATAAAAAATATAAATATTAATTTTAATGAATTTTTTTAACAATAAAAAATAATATTTATTAAAAAATAAAGTACAAAGAATACTCCAAATCTATAAACATTCTAACTTAAAAGGCATAAATTTATAAAAGCACTTTTAAATTGTAAAAATTTCAACCTACACTCTTATAACCCAAAGCAGGAACAGAAACTCTGATTGTGGATGCTTGCCGTATTGTGTCGATACCAAAATCATGTGTCGACACCTCACCCGTGTCAGGTCTCTATCCTCTATTGCAACTTCTTCAATGGTAAAATAGCAATCTGGTCCTTCATATTTTCTACGATGAGCATTTAGATCCTAAAACTCAAGATTCATTCATTTAGGTCCACAAGATGAGTCTTTTTTCTTGCAATTTAGTCCCTCAAATTTTAGAAGATGTTCATTTAAACCCAAAACTCCTATTCTTATGCATTCACGTCCTTTCATCTTTTAGACAATTTTTTGGTGCTAATAGCCAATCTGTCGATGAGCATGACCAATTCTTGCTCTTTGCTTTCAACCATTCCCATGATTTGATTTGGATGCAATCAAACACCCTTTGAGCATCTGGTTCCTTCCCTTTGAATACACAAGTATTTCTAGTTAGCCATAAAGACCAAACATATGCAAACCAAATAGTCTCCCATCCTTTTAAAAGCTTCCTATCTTCAATTAGTCCAAGATGTTGAGAGAAAGCTTCCAAACAAGTTCCTGGTCTAACTGATTGCATTCCCCACCACTTCAAGCACATGCCCCATAGGGAATATGCAACTCAACAACATAAGAATAAGTGGCTGGAGGTCTCAACTTCCTCTTTACATAGGGAGCATGTAGTCATGTTGTAGCTATGCAGGACCCCCCTCTTAAACAGCTCAAATTTAGTTGGTAATTTATTTTGGATTAATTGCCACACCATAGCATTAACTTTACTTGGGGTCAATGGATTCCAAACTTTCATAAAGATTTTTGCATCAGCTCCATGGTTTGAGGCTTTCAAGAGTCTGTAAGCCGAACTAGTAGAATATCCATGGTTGTTGTCCAACTTCCAGTCCCATTTGTCTTTGATCCCTTGCCTACATTGGGCTGAGGAAATATCACCAAGCAAGTCTGATTTTAGTTTCTCTTCCCATTCTCTGAGATGACGCCTCCATTTTAAGTCCCACTTCCAATGACCATCAGACTATGTGCCCATTTGGTTAACCATATTTTGTTGACCTGTTGAGAGAAGAAATAATCTTGGATATATGTTAGATAAAACTCCTACCCCTAGCCAGTTGTCATGCCAAAAACTGACCCTCTTCCCCTCTCCTAATTCCAACTTTACATTGTCTAACAGCCACCCCTCCTTTCCTACCACCACACTATTTAGCTTCCTAATATTTTGCCACCAAACAAAGCTTCTTCCCTTTCTTTCCTCCAACATACTAATCCAATTTCTTGCCTTTCTTCCATACTTTTCACCAATCACTCTAGCCCACAAGGAACTTGAGTCTTGAGATAATTTAACCCACCATTTTCCCAAAAGAGCAATATTGAAGCACCTAAGACCCTTAATCTCTAAGCCTCCCTCTTCCTTCCCTCTACACACCCTTTCCCATTTAACCCAATTAATATTTTTGTTATTCTCACAACTACCCCATAAAAATCCTCTTCAAATGGAATCAATAATAAACAACGTACCTTTTGGGAGAAGATGAGTCGACATTTGGAACACGGGTAGTGAGGATAGCACAGAGTTAACGAGAGTAATCCGGCCTCCCATAGACAAGTATCGACCTTTCCAACCAGACAGCTTCTTTTCAAAAGTTTTAACAAGACCCTTCCAGTGTGAGATACTCCTTGAATTTCCTCCCACATGAGTGCCAAGATATCTGAACGGAATCTCACATATCTTGCAATTAAGCAAGTATGCCATTTCCGTTGTCCACTCCTTCTCAACATTTGTGCTCATCAGCTGACTTTTTGCATAATTGATCTTCAATCCCAACACCAATTCAAAGCACCTCATAATACATTTCACAACCCATATATTTTCCTTTGTTGCTTTACCCATTATCAAAGTATCATCAGCCAATTGCAAGTGAGAGAGTTTAAGCTCTCCATTTCCAATTTTAACACCTTCAAAAAGTCCTTGCTTAACTACTTCTGAGATTAATCCATTCAAGCCTTCAGCCACAATTAAGAATAGAAAAGGGGACATGGAGTGTCTTAATCCTTTTGTCATTCCAAATTGTCGAGAAGGGCAACCATTGATTAACACAGAGATGGACGCTGATCTCAAGCATTCCTTGATCCAAGAATGCCATTTTGCATTGAAGCCTAACTTATCCATCATAAAATCCAAAAAACTCCAGCAAACATTATCAAATGCCTTTTCAAAATCTGCTTTAAAGAAGAAGCAAGCTTGGTTCTTTTTCCTTGCCTCATCTAGCACTTCATTTGCAATGACTACACTCTCAGGCAGATGTCTTCCAGCAATGAAAGCCATTTGGTTTTCCCCGATTATGTCCTCCAAGACTCTTCTCAATCTGTTGGCGAGCAGCTTTGACAGAATTTTGTAGCTTACATTAATGAGTGAGATTGGTCTAAATTCCTCAATCTTTTCTGGATTACTGACTTTAGGGATTAGAACCACAAATGATTCATTTAGGCCTTTGACAATCCTTCCTTTGTCATGAAACTCCTTGATAAAATCAATGACTTCTCTTTTAATTATCTCCCAATTTTTCTTAATAAAGTTGAAGTGGAAACCATCAGGACCTGGCTCCTTTGAACTATCACAATCCCAAATTGCTGCCTTAATTTCCTCTTTAGAGAATTGAGCTGTGAGCATTTGATTTTGTGATTCAAAGATCTGATTGAAATTCAGCCCACCAAGTGTTGGTCTAACCCATTCCTCATTCTTAAATAATGATTGAAAATATTTAGCAATTTCCTCTCTAATGTCATCCACCTCAACACGTTGGCAACCATTAACCATAATGCAATTTATTTCATTTTTCATCAATCTACTCTTGATGCATTTATGGTAAAAAGCTGTATTAGCATCACCTTCTCGTAGCCACATTCTTCGAGCTTTTTGATGCCAGATCCTATTTTTGATTCTGACATTCTTCAAGAGTTTTGCAAATGATTCTTTTCTGGCTTGCACCTCTCCAACAGTAAGCCTTTGTCTTTCTCCTTTCATGTCAAGTTCTGCAATTTTATCTTCTGCAATACAAATCTTTTTGTCAACCTCCACCATATAATTTCTACTCCAATTCTTTAGAGCACCTTTCAATCTTTTCAATTTCTCTTTCAAGATATAGCCTTTCCACCCATGAATCTTAGTAGATGACCAAGAATCATGTATTAACTTCTCAAATCCTGGCTGCTCCATCCACACATCGAAGAATTTAAACGGTTTAGGACCCCAATCCACTTTTTGGTTCTTTAGCAAAATTGGACAATGATCTGAGATAGACCCTTTCAATCCCCACTGCCTCACATCTTCCCAATTCAATAGCCATTCTTCTGAGACTAAAAATCTGTCCAGTCTACTCATTGAGGTTCCATTTGAATGATACCATGTGTATTTTCTCCCAATTAATGGCAAATCAATCAAGCCTAAATCCATGATGAAGTTTTTGAACTCTCTAATTTCTCTAGCATTTCCCCTGCTTCCAGCACGTTCTTGATGCTCTTTCACAGCGTTGAAATCACCTACAACACACCAATTACCTCTACTGGCAATAATTAAGTTCCTCAGTTCATCCCATTAAGATCTTTTACCATTTAAATCGCATGGTGAATACACATTTACAATATATATAGGAACTTGCTCCTTCCCCCAAAATCCAAATATCCCCAAAAAATTGCTTCCAGCAAACACCCTTTCCTTCTTAAAAGTTTTTGGATCCCAGATACACAATAGACCCCCAGATCTTCCAAATGATGACTTAAATTCCCAGTCGAACTCCCTTCTACCCCACAAAGCTTGACAAACCTGATCATCAACAGATTCTAATTTTGTTTCTTGTAAAGCTAAAAACTCCACATTTTCTTGATGGACCAAATCTCTAATCCCCCTTCTTGTGACCCCACCCCCTACACCTCTAGCATTTAATGAAAGAATAATCATTTTGATAATAGTGTATCTGCTCTACCTTCCTTCTCGTCTTGCTTCTCCAAAGCTTGTTTTGCCCTTCGGTCCTTGTCTTCCATTTCTTCAATTTTTTGAGCAATCTCAACTTCATTTCCGTCAGCCGTTACTCCAATTTTCTTCCCAAATTCCCATATTTTCTCTGCTTCTTTGCTCCGATGACAACCAAGAAGACTTCGATTTCTATTTTTGATGTCACTATCTGCTATAGAAATCCCAGCTACTTTGCTTTGTGATGCCGGCAGAAACTCCGGGGCGATTTCTGAGCATCTATCCTTGTAGCTTAGCAACTGCTTCCCCCTTTTATTCCCCTTTGTTTCCGAACAGCGTCTAGAATGCTTGAAGACCTCAATACACAACCTTGCCTTTTTTGCTTGCCTTCTTTCTCTCTTCTTTTGCTTCTTTCTTTCTCCCCTGACCATCCAATGTGCTAGCTTTCCTGAGTCATTGTCAATCCCTTCCCAGAAATTCACTTCTGATGGTTCCTTGCTTTTCATTGGATTCATTGATGTCTCTTACTATTGGTCCCTTGAAATGGGCTTGGCAGCAATTCTTTCTGATACTAGCCCAGCACCACTCACATCCTTATTTGCATCTTGGGCAACCAGCCCAAGTTTTTCATACTCCAAAAGCCCATTGTTGTTATCCTCAATAGGCCCAATTCCCTTTGTATCCTCTATACCGTTCAACTCTTTATCTACTGAAGTATTGATGCTATCACCATTAGTATTGCCTTGATTTTGAACCAAATTCAAACTGTCTGGCACAATCTCTTGACATTCATCATTCGACTGCATGCCTTGGGAACTTTCAGCGGTCATACTGACACCCATTTCCTGCACGTCTTTTCCTTGCATGCCGTTGTCACTCCCATCTTTGGGTTTGTTCACTGACTTTTCGTCCTTCTCCCACCAGATTTGCGCCATGTCATCATCTTCAACCTGCAATCCTTTTTCAAATTCCAGAAAGTCTAGGTTTCTACTGTAATCTCCATGGCTATCAACTTCATATTTGCCACTAGAATCACTAGCACCCGACCCGGATTCATGATCCTCCGAGTTCCACTTTTTAGCCGAAATCCAATCTGAACTCACTTTAAATAAGCTATTTGTGGATTCCTCCTCCATGACTTTGATCTTGCATAGGGCTCCATTGACTGTAATTGTAATTGTCCTTGAGATAAATTCCATAATTGGAGTGGAGATGAGAAACCTTGCCACATCGAAATGCTTTCTTTTGCTTGTACTGTCATCTAAGCACGGAAACTTTCCAAATAAACAGCCTAAAGTCGAAAAGTTATCTAAATTCCAGCCATGAACAGGCATTCCTTGATATTTTAGCCAAGTGAAGCGTTCAGTTGCCACTATTTCAAGGGACCAAGGCTTGATGTCTTCAAACCAATGTCCAAGCCAATCAGCGGCGAGCTCCAAAAGATCCTTCATTTCGTCCCTGTCACTTCCTTCTAGCAACACTAGTTTCCCTCCCATTGGACGGATTTTGCAGGTAAAGTAGCCTTCCATAAAGAACTTTTCTTGCAAAAGTGGAGCCGACTCTACAGAATGAACTGTACCAACCATGCATCCTTTCAGCCACTCCTCGTCATCCTTCATGGCCTTTAATTTGAGTCCCGTTTGATTATTAACTTCTTCCTTAGCCTTCCATGTTTGCCCTTCATGCTCACCATCAATTCTATTCAGCTTCCCTTTCACCTGTTGGCCCTCCTTCACCACCTCCGCGTAGCTTCTGTGTTGTTGAGCACCACCCATGTTCCTCACGAACGGTGCATCAGCTTTCTCCTGTAGGCTGTATTTCGATCTATTCACCTTCAAAGTAAAATTACCTACTTGAATCCCATTCAGGCGCCTTTCAAGTTCCCTCTCATCTTTCACCTCCAGGAACCTTACAAACCCAAATCTTCTTCCCTCTTTGTTTTTTCTTTGTGGACTGTAAATGGCAAACACTCTTCCAAAACGAAGGAAAGTTCTCCACATATCCCCATGGCTCCAGTCATTTGGAAAGTTTGTGAAGAAAAAAGGGATTGCTTGGTTGTAGACACCTCAATCATATCCCCAAGGTTCTTGCCTTCTGCTGCCTTTCCATACTCGGCCTTGATCTGCTCGACCCTGTTCCTTTCTGCCAAAGAACTCTCTGCTCCGTGCCGTCCGCCTTCCCATCTTCTCGCTCTCTCTCTACCTCTATCTCTCATCGCTCGTTTTCCTGACTACCTTCCACAGCAACAGTTAATGACCACAGACTTTTTACTTAGCTCTATAAATCTGTTCTTCATCTTCCCCCTTTTTCTTGTACAGACCATTAATTTTAATGAATTAATATTATTTACATAGTATTACTAGACAAACCCATTAGTAAAACCTAATTTAACATTGAAGAATATTTTAAAATCATATTATTCTATTAATTACTTAATATTAAATGTTAATAAAATCGAATTTTCAGATTCAATAATTCGCCTTTAAATTTTAAATGTTTAGGTGTAATTGACCAAATTAATGATTCAAAAAAAATTTCACATCGCTGAATTCTGCTATGTGCAAAAGAAAAATTGTTAATATAAATTATCTCTCTTTTACTAACTAAAAAATATTAATTTATTTAAATAAATTATACTAATAAACATTACAAAAAAAAGGCTAAATATCAAACTTCGTAGGTTTGCAATAGTGTAACGTAATTATTAGATATATATATTAGGATAAAGTTTTTGAGAATGTTAGAAAAATAATTGGAGATTAAATAAAAACCACGAATGTTTAATTTATAAAAGAAAAATCGATGAAGATTAATCTTCATCACATGTGAAACCATGTAGCATGCTTCCTCGCCTTCGTAGGTCACCACCGGCAACCGCCGCCAAGCCTAACATGTGTACTCCGCTTAATTTCTGAATAAACACGTACTCACTGTATACCGAAACTGCTATCCAATTAACTGCTCCTACCTAACAATCAAAGCTGACTAAATCCACGTGGAAATATTCAATTGGGTTTAAACAGTCATCTTGTGTGCTAACTGCTAAGAAAGTGACAAACTTCTGGAAGGGTGAATCTTCTAGGAAATAATGTAGGAACCGGAACTACAACTCTTTCCTCTCCGTTACATCATCAACTCAGTCATGTAGACGTATGCACATATGTCGGTTGACAGTTTGACACGGCCGGCTTCATCAACTCCGCACTGTAAGTAATATTTTATCGGATTTTTTTACCTTATATTTTTAAAATATAAAATAAAGATGTATTTATTATATCGTTACAAACCATCAAAAATAGATTTAACTCTAATTAACCTTTTTTATTATTTCTTCGAGTAACTCATTATGAACTTGGAAGTTGCAGGATCTTGGAGAAAGGAGAGAGAATGGGGGAATGGAAAATAGCTTATGGGAGAGAAAAAGAAGAAAAAAAAAAGGCGGTAAGTTTGTACGGATAAAAATAAAAATTAAAAAAGAAAAAGAAAAACGCTTGCCATCTCATCAAATTAATAACCGCCTTAACATCCAGCATGCCTAGCTCTTCACCGCATCATCCACGGGTCCCACCAAAAGCAGCCCGTCGTTAAGATAGCACAATTGTCGACGTAAGCCGTTAGACAAGGGCCATTTTACCACCAACAATAAGTTTGAGGGGGGAGCTTGCGCGTGAGTTCAGTCAAGGGGGTAATCTGCTACTGCTTGGAAAGAGGAGGCGTTGATCTGCATGTTTTGCCAAGAAAATATAAGCAAAACACACCTAAGAGCATATGAAGGAATGGCTTTCTCCCCAAAGAAACAGGTTTGGTTTTGGGTGCGTCTTTTTTTTATTCTTTTTGAACAAGGTGAATTTTTAGAAAAAGAAAGGAAATATTACAATTATTTCTACATAAACATAAATTTTAATATAAATTAAGATTTTTATTACATATTATCAATTCAACTAAAACTATTAATATAATTTTAGATGCATCTTATTTTCTAAAAAACCTATATATATTTATGAGACTTGTGATAATAACCAGATTAAAGAGGTTTATAAAACTAGAATCAATGAAAGTTTCTCTCGAGGTGAGGAGAGAAAGATATATTTCAACTATTTATAATATTTTACAGCACCTTACATTATGGTATGATTTTAAGAATTATTGCTATCAATACCAAATACCAGATACAAAGAATGCAAAATATATATAGTGGCCAATGGTCATATTGGAATTATTGTGGGATTCTTTCCTTTTGTTTCGATTTGAATTCTCCCTGGAATTACTCTGTTAGTCTCCATATTTCCCTCATTTTTGGGAGCTTGACTAACTTCTTTACCGTTGCTGACCTGAATGATTTCTTCCCCGATGTTGTTCTCCTTGATTTTCTCCTTATGCTTATGTCCTTGAATCTCTTCGATCTTCTGGCCTGGATTTGCTTGATTTTCCCTGGTTTGTTCTCCAATACAGATAACATCAATTAAGTGATATTTTTCTGAACCGTGACAATAATTAACATCAAGACTTTTGACCAAATAACCTGACAAACTCTCTTCTCGCATTTATTTAGGAGGAAGATGAAGTCGAATCTTACTCTCACTGAGAAGTTTCCAAATTGAAATTTCTAGGAAGAAAAGGGGCAACTTAACAAGTTATAGCTTGCCTATGTAAGAGTAACCTTCTTCTCAATTCATTCATCACCCTTTTCACTCTCTCACTCACTCTCATATCCGTTTTCTGTTTCCAGTTGCCATGGATGATGGAATTGTTAAAATGGGGGAAGCGGCTCATGTGGGAAACATTGAGGGCATATATCAACTGCTTCAGCAGGATCCATCTGTTCTGCGAAGAATTGAAGATGATTTGCCTTTTGCTCAAACGCCCTTGCACATAGCTGTTCAACATATGGTTTCGGATCCGCAAAATGATGAACAAATTAGAGCTGCAAATACACGGTATGGTGAATTTGCTTTGGAAATGATGAACTTAAAGCCATCATTTGCTAGAAAGTTAAACCCATCTGGGTTAAGCCCTATACATCTTGCTGTGCAAAATAATCAGACTTTCGTGGTACGAGAGCTCCTAAAAGTCGACAAAGATCTAGCTCGTGTTAAAGGCAAGGGTGGTCAGACCCCTTTGCATTTTGCCGCAGACCAAGAAGCACTGGATCTTTTAGTTGAGTTTCTGGAGGCATGCCCTGAATGCATCACAGATGTGAACATACACGGCCAGACTGCTCTCCAGGTTGCTGTAAAAAACGGACGCTATGAAGCTGCAAAGTTCTTGGCTTCTTGGATTTACAGGAGCACCCACAAAGATAGCGCAGCTTGGGAAAGGGCAGTGTTGAATGGGAAGGACCAAGAAGGAAACACTGTATTGCATATAGCCGCATTAAATAATGATCCCCAGGTACAATCTCATATGAGACCAGTCAAGTCAACCTACTACTACTACTACTATTATTATTATTATTATTATTATTATTATTATTATTATTATTATTTTAACTAAAATAATTTTTGAAAAATGAGAAAAGAGAATAAGATAATAATTTTAAACTTTTTGATCGCGTAAGTGATAAATAGTGTTAGTTTTATCTATTTTATAAGTTAGGTTTAATTATTATTATTATTATTATTATTATTATTATTATTATTATTATGTTACTTTTACTACTTTAGATGCGTATTAATTTTAAATTAAACAATCTTTTGTTTTC